AAATCTACCTGACGACTTTATATCCATGCTCAGATGCCAAGGAGCTCAGAATGTAACCGACTATGACTAGTAATAATCAGATATATATTGAGTAGAAACGCATGTGCGAACATCTTAATGTCAATTGCATTAAAAATGAATTTTTCTGTATGAAACTGTGTATTTTAATAATGAAATGGAGATCTTTTTCAAGGGTTAAAACCTCATTTAACAATACAATATTGTATAACTGTAATAATTCAACTGTACACCTAAAAATTCATAGCCAATTTTGAAAGAGATGCATCTTAGCTCAGAAAATTGTTATTGAATATGTCAATGCTGATGTAATGAAATGCTTCTTCTAAGTATGTGGTTATTAAATAAATAATTTTAAAAATGGCATTCTTGGGGCTGGAGAGATGAATCAGCTGTTAAGAGCACTGACTGCTCTTACAGAGGACCTAGGTTCAATTCCCAGCACCCACAAGGCAGCCATCAACTGTCCATTTAACACCAGTTCCAGGGAATGTGATGCCCTCTTCTGACCTCTTTGTGCATTGCACGACATGGGTGTACTTACATACTCAAGCAATATACTAATACACATAAAATTTAAAAAAGCATTTAAAAAAATTAAACAAAAGGGGGCTGGAGAGATGGCCCAGCGGTTAAGAACACTGGTTGTTCTCACAGAAGACCCAGGTTCAAATCCCAGCACCCACCTGGCAGCTAACTGTCTGTAACTCAAGTCAAAGAGGATCCAAGAGCCTCTTCTGACCTCTGTGGGCATTGCACGACATGGGTACACTTACCTACATGCAGGCAATATATGCATACACATAAAATAAAAATAATAAATACAATTTTAAAAAATTAGACAAAATTGGTATTCTCTCCCCCCACACCCCCCATGTCTTTCTTTTTTTTTTGAGACAGGGTCTCCCTCCCTGCCTCTCATGTGCTGGGAAAAGGCGTGTGTCATCACACCCAGAACTTGAATGGTATTCTATTTCTACTCAGGTGATTTATATTGCATATTATTTTATCAAAGTTGTGATGCAATCAGCAACATGGACAGTGTGCTATATCCACACCAGTCTTATTACTGTACTCTATGCAAGGGTTAAGCAGCTTCAAGAGAAGTATAACCTACAGACTGTAACAGAGTATTGCTAAAATATCCTACCCACCGTGTCTAGCTGCATTCTAAAAATTCCATCAAGATGACGATTCTGAATGGGGAGCAATTCATACCTTTCACCCTGCGCTTACCCGGTGTTCTTCCTGCTGTTGTCTTAGAGTTTCGTATTCTAGGGCTGGGGCAGGGAGCGCAGAGATGATTCTTTGTGTTTCTGTCAGCCATGGCCAAAGTTCCTCATATGTCTCCCAGAACTGGTTAACCAGGGACTGTGCCCGTTCTAGCTGCAGATACCTCTCTGAGTTCATCTGGCAGATGGCATCATAGTTCTTCAATAGCATATCCAATTTTTTCTAGAAAATAAGATGATGAAGTGTGTTTACTTGGCAGCTGGCAGCCGTAGTTCGGGATGCTTTGTTCAGCCCAGCACATCTGGCAGAGTAGGCACACAACAAATGTGAAGTGAATGAATCAAAGCTATTCAGATGGGCTATTTCTGTGTGTAAGTTCACTTTAAATTAAAGAGGGGGCTCAGACTTTTATGCTTAAGACACAGAACTCTCCAAATACAACGAGCAAAATTCTCCAGTCATTCTGGTGAAAAAAGAAGCTTCCTACACTTCTGTCAACATTGACATTATTATCTGGAGAAAAATAAAGACTATATTTTACAAATGAAATGATAAGAACTAGCAGTCAACAAAATCAGTTACATATAGTAGAATCGAAGTCGGAACACTGTGCTACCTGTTAATTTTATGAGTTACAGTGATCTAGATTATACTGTAAATTCACAATAAAGAGTAACAGCATAGGGAAGGACAGCAGCAGCCTGCTAAACTATAGCACAGGACAGACATTATTTCATGATGAGCTTTTTATGTCTGAATCCTTGCAAAAATAATAAAGGTTTATAGACAAATTGCCTTTGTAAAATATGAATAAAAATGCCATTATACTATACAATCTATTATTTTATCTGTGGTACAACTTAAAATCAATGTATATTATCTAAGATGTGATTTTTGGCACAGACATTTGTATCTATTTATTTGGGCTCACAAGATAGTTTCCAGCCAGAAGCTTTAACATACAGCAAGTTCTTTAGGCTGCTCAGATGTCTTCATAGAAACTGAACTAAACCTCGTTATCTGTGGATGGTTTTCTACCAATACTATGCACACTGGGTGCTTCCTTAGCTACTCAGTTCATTTTTTTCTCTATCTGGTTTATAGTAACTTTATATAGAATGGGGAACTATGTATTTTGGGTTTTGTTTCAGCTTAAGTTCCAAATGTTCTCTAAGCACATAAACCATGGTTGACATACCTAATAACAAGTTTATAATCATAACAATAGGAATAATACAGCTAATAATGACTGAATTAATTGAACACTTAATGAGGGCCAGATTATCAAGGACTGAAATTTTAACAGCTCTTACACCATGAAAGCAGACTGTCCTCCTGATGATAACTTTTCATGGTTATTCTGTAAGCTTAAAAAATGCTTATTTGAAAATAAATAGTGATTTAAGTTTCTTTAACAGTAGCTGTGGATACAGAAAAAGTGCTTTTCTAGAGCTTAATTCTCAACAGCTGCTATTCATTCAAAAGCCTCACTACACAGCACAAGAGAAGACGGTACCTTCATTGACTGATTTTCCTCTTCACTGGATGTGGCCATGATTTTATGCCCAGATTTAACAAGTCCATCAATAATATCCTTGTGTCTCAAAATATCCATGGTGAATGTCTGTGATTTACCAAATAAAGACAAAACAGAAACAAAACAAAAAGGGTGTTATGAAAATGAAGCAATTAGGCAGTCATCGAAAATACCAAATTATCCTTTCTAAAAGGATTTTGAAAAGTCAGTCATGCAAGTGGAGTTTCTGGACTCGCCGAGCAGCAAGTCACAGAGCTGGCAACTGGAAATGTCTCCTTCACCTTTTGAACCTGCAGCTGAGTGGAGGTCTGGTGCTGCTCAAGCCTGATATCACCCAGAGACATTAATTTCTTTTCTGTTTCAGCAATCCAGGATAACTCAGCATCCGCCGCCTGGTCAAACTAAACAAAAGATAATAATTAGGTCAGCAAGTTCCTGTGACTGGTGCCAGTAAAATACCTATTTATGTTCCTTCTAAATGTCCCTTTTCACAAGTGGAAACTCCCAGTTTCTCTCTTCATGGTATCCTAAAATAATTCCCAAGAGGGATTAAGTAACTATGAAGAACCTGGAGTCCACAGAGTAATTAAACACAAGACCTTAACAGTTGCTGAATATGCAAAAGCACATTTAGCCTTCTCTTCAGGTAATCTTAGAATCCAAACACAACAGCTATAAAACTGTTAGATATTAGATATTGATTAGACATTGTTCTTAATAATTTTTTTCTGTCACTTCAATTCAGATACTGAGATGATATTCTGCTCTGAAGATACACAGTCCCTTGATAAACTAATGAAATATTCCCAACTTGTTTATTATGTGTTTATATACAAATGTGTGTGTAGATACCTATATCCACATATGAAGCATATACCCTCAAATAATTCATGCCTAATCTGTAAACATCTCATTGAATAAATTTTAAACACTCAAGCATTCCCTAATGCTTGAATTTGTTTTTCTCTTCCTAACAGTAATTCACAGAAAATGACAGAAATTCATAAAGCACAGAATAAACAGAAGAAAATTAAAATCCAGAGTTAATACTGTTGGTATTTTAGTGACTGTTCACTCAGAAATTGAGAAAGACTTGTAAAAGTCTGGGATAATAACTATATAAACAGTCTCATATCCTGTTTTTCATTTATTATGAATAGCTCCCAATTATATTTCTGTTCTGTAGTATAAAGAATACAAACATTTTCAATGTCTTGTATCAGATTAAAACTCCAATGCCATTCTGAATCAAACAGCTATCATAGGTGCATAAGGAGGGCAAGTGAAATCCTAAGGACCAATAAATGGTAAGCCTCAGCTGGGGGAATGAACGGGAATGGGCAGTGAAGGGTTTTCAAAACTAGTACTGCCAGAATGTCCCATTTCCCAAGAGAAGCTGGAAATCCAAACGGGAGTAGAAGGGGATAAGTAAATATGGGGAGAGAAGGTTGGACCTAAAAAAAAGTTAGAAAGTAATTCTACCTTAAAAACTCTACAGTAACACTGTTAGACTCATAGGGGAAAAAAAATGGAACAGATGAACTTTCCCCATTCCAAGATAAATGCACCTAAAACCCAGGCCTGACATACAGGACATGTGATTACAACATGAAGAGAAGGGCAGCACAGCCTTGGCCCTTGGCCCCAAAGATTGACAGCCTGATGGTGGTGACATCTCTGGGATTTCTTTGTGCCTCACCTACTGAGATTGAACACTGAAGAAACATGCAACCCATAAACACCAACAGACACAGAAAAAGTCCAAGGGTAATCCTGATCTCTTTAGCCAAAGACAAGGAAAGGGCAGTCTAGCAAGGCATAAGGAGACGACACCATTTCAATCTAATCAAATGCCACAAAGCAACATGGTGGCCACACTCACCCTCACACCAAGACAGACTACATGAGCAGTCTAGATTTTCACTTTGCTAAGTTTCCCAATATCCCTGGACTTCATCTCAGTCAGATAGTAATGAGGTGCCCTTCCTCTGCTTCCCTCTGATGGCTGTCAGATCAACTAGCGAAAAGTTAGGGGTTTTATCATCACTGGATGTCAAACCATCACCACCTCCCTCATTAAGGTAGCAGTAGGGACCATGTAGAGAGCTGGAACTCCCAGTTACATCCAACAAAAATGAGGCACAGAATGGCTCAATCCCTAAAGTGCTAGGCACAGTGCATGTCTGCAGGTGGTAGGGGTTGATACAGGACAGGTGGCTCTCCTTAGTTATGTAGCCAATTGGTGTGCTTCAGGTTCAGTGAGTGTACCTATCCGGAAAGGTAAAGTGGAGAGAAACTGAGGAAGACCCTGGATGTTGACCTCTGGACTCCACATGCACACCCACATAACACCCCCCCACACACACGGAAGATGAAAACTGAATTAAAAGAAGATAATCAAGTAGATGTCAATGCCTACATTTCAGAGATGTCAGAATTATCTAAGATTTCAGGCAGACATAATTTTAAAAAATGCTTTAATTGATATTTTTAATATTCCTGGTTGAAATATGAAAAAAAATCAGAGGGTCTAGGTCACAAAATATAATGTCTCTACAAATACCACATATAAAGAACTAAATAGAAATTTAGAACTGAGAAATATAATTGAAGTAAAGCCAATGAAGGAAAGAATGAGTGAACTGGAGATAGGAAAACAGAAATTACCTATACTGAATAATCAAACTGAAACAAACACACATATACACAAACGAACAAACCAGAGGCAGGTAAGCATGTAAATATTTGCTCTGAAAAAAAAAGACTACAAGCAGAAACTTTCCTTTTGCTTCTGAGAAATTAAAACAAATTAGCAAATGTTTATTGTTAAGCAACAGATTGGAACAGCCACACAAACATGATTCACTGAAATCACTGGTTTACATGTCTTTCCAGTGAACTGCAGAGTGGATCACTTTTATATGCAACCAACATGGAGAGCAATATTACTAGATCAAATTTATTCATTTATTTACTTATTGGGGTAGTGAAATTGAGCTCAGGGCCTCACAGGTAGTAGGCAAGCCCTTAACCACAGCTATAGCCCCAGTTCTCTTTTCACTTGTGAAAATTTGAGGTGGGGTTTCAACCAAGTCATCTAGACTGCCATGGAATTCACTTTGTACCCTTGGCAGCCTGTGAACTTGCAATTCTCCTGCCTTAGACTTCATAGCAGCTGGATTACAGGCCTGTTGGCTTAGACCAAATTTTAGTAACTACATTTCCTGCTTGTAAAAGCAGCAAAAACTGACTTCAAACATAGTTATTCTTGCTTCTCATTATTTATAACACAGCCTATATTTTTGCGCACTAAAACCTGGAGTGGCTAGACAAATCTCAATTCTGTAGGGGCTGTTTCCTTCTGATTCTTTAAAATAAACAGTTCCGCAGACTCCTAATGACTCAAAGAGCTGTTAGTTTTTACTACACCAGAACCACCAACCCAGTAGTCTTTATATCAGGGTGATTATGGAGCTCATTTACATACGTCAAACAATTAGAATTGCCTAAATCCCTGTAATTCCCAAGCCCTGGGAGATATCCAAATTTTTGCAACATCTGACAACTATGCATTTTTAAGAGGCAAAGGACAACAGACTGCTCTAAGGTTGAAACAGTGGTTGCAATGGGGAGCCAAGACTGCATCTCTTTTAAGCAAAAGAGAAATACTGCCAATTTCTACAAAGAATACTTAATTCAATGTGCAATTAGAGAAAGAAGGCAACAAAGATGTACTACTTTGTGCAAACTTGAAATTCAAGAATATGTACAGGTTCTAACTCTAACAATATATACATTGTGAGGGGGAGGCAAGCTAGCTCACCATTACTAGATACTATGATGCCTTTCTCTGCTCAAAGTTTTCCTATAAGTAATGCCTTAAAACAAGAGTATCTTCTTCACAGTATCAATGCCTGGAGAACTATATAGTCAGACTTGCGGGGGTGGGGTGGGGGTGGCGGGGCTTATGATCAGCAGTGCAGTACACGTGGCCCTTACTCATTTGGTCATAAATGAGGTTGTTCAACTGTCTCCCAAATAATTAGAAATATCACTCAAATCTACATAAATACCCCTGCTCCTACAATTTCTAAATTCAATGACATATCTTTTCAAAATTTTCATTGTAATACAGGGTTAACATGAAAATCTAACCATGTCGAGCCAGAACTCCTTTAATAACAAGCTTACAGAACACACCAGTGAGAAGCTATCTACATGCATCCTTTTCTCGTCACACTTTCTTTCCCATACTTTCCTGAATATCTTTGCATTAATACTTGGAGGTCAATATACTCCACGACAGTGGCCTGACAGTTCATAAGGGCTATATGTATTTACTGAACTACAAAAGGTAAGTTATGGGGCTGGAGAGATGGCTCAGCAGTTAGGAACACTGGTTATTTCTGAAGAAGACCTGAGTTTGTATCCCAGCACCCACATGGCAGCTAACAACTATCTGTAACTCCAGTCCCAGGGGATCCGACAGTCTCTTCTGTCCTCTGCAGCCATTGCACAACATGGGTGCACTTACCTATAGTATGCAGGCAATACACGCATACACATAAAATAAAAGTAATAAAATATTTTTTAAAAAGGTAAGTTATAACATTCTATAAAGGAGATGGGCTGTATATAAACAACCTTAATACTGGGAAAATATGAAATATCTCAAGAAACATTTGCTGGAAAAATGGAGCATTTAGTCATTTAAAATCTAGTCTTAATTTAATTACAATGGGCCATTCAGGAACAAAGCATTGAATCTACACATTATTTAATTACTGAGTAATGTTCAAAGCACACATCTTTACCCCGACACTTGTGGATGGATGTGAGCAAGTTGGGGGCAAAGACTGGAGAAGGGTCACAGTTAACAGTCAATGAAAAAAATTGGTTATGACTAGGGGTTCCCTAAAAAGATAAACTGAGGTCAGGGCATGCCCACATTCTACATGGTGGACATGCAGAATGGCAAATGATTTGTTAATGCAACAAAACAGTACAAACTAGATGGCTGACATTCAAATCTAAAGGGACTCACTTCTCAACTGTTTTCAAATTCCATGGATGGATATATTATCATTGGGGGAAACAGAAAAGCAAACACCTCCGCAACAAGCTTAGTACTTAATTCCAAGCATCTATCCAAACTTACAAAGCAATTTCAGTGGCATACAGCTTCTTAAAAACTTGAAATAAAAATGAGCTCTGACACTTATCCCTAAGTGTACAACTAAATCTCTGCCAAACCAGAAAGACGAGTGCCTCCTCTGTTCTGAAATTTGGCCTGGAGAGACGGCTCAGTGGTTAAGAGCACTGGCTGCCATTGCAGAGGACCAAGGTTTTTGGTTCCCAGCACCCACGTGATGGCTCACAACTGTCAGTAACTTCAGTTCCAGAGGATCCAACACCTTCTGGCCTCTGAGGGCATCACACGCATGTGGTACACTTACATACATTCAGGCAATACACTCATACCTTAGTAATAAAAGAAAATGTGTTGTGAAATCTGTCTCATGAGCCTTTCAGTGCTGCATTCTCATGGAGACATTTCCATTATAGACTTCCATTTTGCTGCAATAATATCACTTTCTTTGTATTACTGAAGACAGAAAAATCTTAGATGGCTCCTCAGTACTTTTCCCCTACATTTTAGTTGCACCTCTGCCACTTTGGCTGTGGGACCACAGGGGCAAGCTACCTTACTGCAGACTGCACACTGCACAGTCCTTTCAAGTATTTAGACTTGAGTCTTAAATAGACCTCCATCCACTTAGCCTTACTGGAGTGTTCACTGGACAGGGTGGAAGGTATTCCAAAGGAATGCCGATATAAATACATATACAAACCATCAGAAGGAGGTAAAGGCACTAATAGTAGCTCTAAGTCCTACTGGTAAGACATTATTATAGTTATACTCATGTTCATTTATAATGATATTCTCATTCTCGTTCTCTCTCTCTTTCTCTCGTTTTCTTTCTCCTCTCTTTTTCTCTCTCCCTTTTGCTCCCTCTCAAGAGAGTTGGAAGAATATGGTCAACATTTTTCATACATTTTGGTGAATTTTTCTGTTTTTTTTTTCACCCAGAAAAATCTCAAAGGAATTTCTATAAGAAATAATATTTTTA